CCATACAAACAAATCAGATGTGAAATAATTTCTACTCAACGTCCAATTGATACATCAAAGACTCTTGTTAATAGCTGCCAACTTGCCTGTCTTTTGACCATTTTTCTGTCTATATCTATATTTTGATATTTGTGCATTGTTTTTCTCATGCTATTTTACCTATACATATATAAACCCAACTTATATTTCCGCCATAAGTGTTTATACTCATGACCTATTTATACTGAATTGACTAACAAATTCTTTATTACTCTGATTCATTATCCTTATACAACACACTATTTGCATACAAACTATTGTCATCATCTTTGTTGCAACACATTTTGAGCATTGTGTCCTCTGGCCTTCATGTATATCGATTTGGATAACCTACAGGGAATTCATATGAGAGAATAGCCTAGTGAATTAAAGCATTGGTTCTTGAACCTTGTGACATACTAAATGTGAGTTCAGTGCCTGGACTGGACAGTGTGTACTCGGACTCAGGGTGAGCAGTAAATGAACAGTACCAAAAATAAGAAATAGACAATATATCCCTAGATATGAGCAGTAGAACAAGAACAGTCTAACCCCTTAGATTTGAGAAAGGCTTCAATTCAGAATTCAGAAATATTGTCCTATTTGGAAGATTGGTGAAATATGATCTACCTATGAGTTTTTTGTGTGAGACTTAGCTAAGCTTAGTAAATCTCTCTACTTGCCCAAATCAAAAAGAGATGTTTTGTGGGTGAAATCATAATATATTTTCTAGTAGTACTGGTGGTCAATGGTGTCCCAAGCCCCCTAAAAATGGTCAGGATTTCAAATTTCCATTTTTATGCCAGGAACTTATATGAATCCTCACTAACACCATTTTTTTTTATATTAAAGTTCATGCAGTATACGGCTCAAGAGACATTCAAGATAGCTGGCTACTGTTAAATTGGTTATGATAAATGACGTGTGATATGAATGAAAGAGGAAGTGGTAGGAACGTCATAAGGAGAATAGATAATGATTGAGCCTTGACTTGAAGAGGTTAAGAATGTAATTTTTTTTGTTTTCTTTTAGTTTTTAATCGATTCACCCCAAGCAAGGCAATAATGCCATTCTGATGCAAGTGGCTACTGGGAGTGAATGTAGTGTTCATGGCAGCTTTGATGTGGGAGCCTGTTCCACAAAGTAACAATTGGAGGAATCTGTTTGAGTGGAACTTTCTCCTTACACTTGGAATTCTTTTTTATTTGTTGAATCAGGTTGTAGTAAAGGGGTGAGTGAGAGAATGAGTGAGTGAGTCAGTCAGTCAGTGAGAGGAAATGGAGGAAAGTGATAGTCAAACTCAATTAAAAAGAAAGAACAATGGAGAAAAACATTAAAGTGACAATGGAACAGATAGATAGATAGATAGATAGATAAATAGATAGATAGGTAGATTTGAATAGACATAGATAGATATGGAAAGACTGGCATAGATAATGAACATCCTTAGATAGATAGATAGATAGATAGATAGATAGATAGATAGATCTTATTTATAACCCAACTTTTTTTCTTCTTGTAAACTGAAACATTATATTTATGGCATGCATGTATTTTGAGCAGACATCTCTGAAAATGAGACACCAAAATCCACAGAAGAATTAGAATAGCTAAAGAAGCCTTCCAAAATCTAAGCAAATTATTAAGAAACAGGAAAATTTCATTAGAAAGAAAGAAAATATTACTGAAGTGTTATGTAATATCAGTTCCCCTATATAGCAGTGAATGTTGGACAATCTCTTTACATATGAAGAATAGACTTGAGGTACCAGAAGTGGTTCTACAGAAGGATGATGAGAATACCATGTGAACAATAAGTAGATTTTAGGGAAAATGGACACAAATAGGAAACATACTTAGAATCAGAAATAGAGAGTTGAAATTTTACAGCGCACATAATGAAGAAAAAGGGCTTGGAAAATTTGACACACACAGGACATACAGAAGGTAAGATTGGAGAGAGGAATGCAATGCATAACCACCCTAACAGCATAAATGGTTGGTAGAACTCATTCTAAGCCATTATCCACTACACCACCTGCACATTAAAGTTTATAGCACCTGGTGCTCCTGAGGTTCAGTGTTGTTTAACTACGGTTTATGGATGAGAAGTTTGGAGGAATTAAAGTGACCCCAGCGAAGGATTCAAAATCACTCTAAGCATAATATATTCTGAATGATTAAAATGTGTTTTATGTTTTTTCATCAAATTCTGGTCATCATTTAATGGTTGGTTGGTTGATTTGTTTAACACCATATCAATTCCCTATGGATCATTTAATGTCAAAATTTAATTTTTAATTTAAGCTTTGAAGTCATAAAAATATTTGTTATTCTGCTTTCACAATTGAATACATGGTAGATGATACTCAGCTTTGTGCCTATATAAGTTTGTGCAGATATGATTACTAGAGATCATGATATGTGTGTTTTATACTGTTTTTTGAGTTATATTTTGGAATACAGTTTGATTTTTAAAGAAATTGTAGGATATTATATGAATTAATGTCATGAAAGAGTTCATTCTTGTTGGTTCTTTGGTTGGTTGCTTTTGTTTAGCGGCATATCAACACCTCTATGGGTTGTTTAATGCCAAAATCTAAATAATTTCTACACAATTTTATAGCTTTAACTAAATATATTTTGAATGCGAATGTATGCCTTCAACTAGAGATAAAATGTATTGCTGGTCATTTTGCCTTAAAAATATATTGTTGGTCATTTTACTATAAATATGTATTGTTGGTCATTTTTTTTATATAAAAATGTATTGCTGGTCATTTTCCTATAAATATGTATTGTTGGTCATTTTTTTTATATAAAAATGTATTGCTGGTCATTTTCCTATAAATATGTATTGTTGGTCATTTTTTTTATATAAAAATGTATTGCTGGTCATTTTCCTATAAATATGTATTGTTTGTCATATTTTTATATAAAAATGTATTGCTGTTCATTTTGCTTTAAAAAGATATTGTTGGTCATTTTACTATAAATATGTATTGTTGGTCATATTTTTATATAAAAATGTACTTCTGGTCATTTTTCTTTAAAAATATATTGTTGATCATTTTACTATAAATATGTATCGTTGGTCATATTTTTTATATAAAAATGTATTGCTGGTCATTTTGCCTTAAAAATATATTATTGGTCATTTTACTATAAATATGTATTGTTGGTCATTTTTTTTTATATAAAAATGTATTGCTGTTCATTTTGCTTTAAAAATATATTGTTGGTCATTTCACTTATGTATTGTTGGTCATATTTTTAAATTTAAAAATATATTGCTGGTATTTTTACTATAAAAATGTGTTTTTATACTTTCATAGTTTTTGTTTGGGGGGTGTTCACTATTTGTCCATAGTTGGGAACCTAAAAGTTTCTACCATCCAGAGTGAACCTGTGAACAACAGTAATTAAGAGGTCATAACACGTCCCTCAAAATCTGGAATCTCCTGATCAGAGGCCTTGCTGTTGGATGTACTTTATAATCATACCCAGGACTGTCATCACTTGATGGCGTGTCCCAGGATCCAAGCATCTGGACAAAAGGGGAATTTGTCATTTAACATTTGACTGCCAAAAGGTTAACATAAGTCACTACACAAGCCTTTTCTTTTCCTTTTCAAAAGCATTAATTAAACGAGCCATTATACTGAACACAGAATCTATTTTCGTACCTACTCTGTGTAAAAGGTGCAAAAGAGAATGCAAGTTTTATGAGGAAAAAGTCTAATTCAACAGTAAAAAATGTTTTTGCTCATGTTCTTTTTGCATTATTGAATCAGGTTGCTTTGTTGAATTAGACGTTAAACATGAAAAAAGGGAAAAATGGAAAATGAGAGTGTAAGATAGAAGAGGTATGAAAATAGGGGAAAAAAGAAAATGGAAGAAATAGAGATGGGGAAAGAGAAGAAAAGTAAGAGAAAAAGAGAGAGAGAGAGAGATAGAGAGAGATGGTGGGAAAGCAATGCTAAGTGAGACAGTGCAAGAGAAATGGGGGAAAGGGAGGCAAATAATGTGCAGAAGGATGAGGGAGAAATGAGGGAGAGGGAAGCAAATAAAGTAAAGAAGGATGGGGATTATAGAAATGATGGAGTGAAAGTAAGATAACTGGGAAGAATAGAATTAGGTAGAGCAACAAAGTGACAGAGGAGGTAAAGGAAAACAAGATATAATGAAAGAGTGAGTGAGAGGAGGAAATGGGGAAAAGGGGTTGTGAATAAAACAGAAAAAGCAATGGAGAAAGCATGAAAAGGAGGCAAGTAGGTGACATGGAAAGAGAGAAGGGACAGCATAACATAGAGATAGGCAGATAGAGATATATGAATAGACTGAGATAGATAGATAGATAGATAGATAGATAGATAGATAGATAGATAGATAGATATGAATAGACTGAGATAGATAGTTATGAATAGACTGAGATAGATAGATAGATAGATAGATAGATAGATAGATAGATAGATATGAATAGACTAAGATAGATAGATAGATAGATAGATAGATAGATAGATAGATAGATAGATAGATATATGAATAGACTGAGATAGATAGATATGAATAGTCTGATAGATATGAATAGACTGAGATAGATATATAGATAGATATGAATAGACTGAGATAGATAGATAGATAGATAGATAGATAGATAGATAGGAATAGACTGAGATAGACAGATATGAATAGACTAAGATAGATAGATAGATATGAATAGACTGAGATAGATAGATATGAATAGTCTGATAGATATGAATAGACTGAGATCGATAGATAGATATGAATAGACTGAGATAGATAGATAGATAGATAGATAGATAGATAGATAGATAGATAGATATTGGAAAGGCATTGGTAAGTGTGAAGAAAGAACTTTCAGTGCAGCCTGTGGTAAGATACATTGTTAAAAAAGGAAAAGAAGAAGAAATGCCTGCTTGATTAGACAGATGGGGCCCACCTTGGATTTGCTTCAGCATTCTGATGGCATTTGTGGGGACAGTAATCCATTATTGGTATTTCTCCTCATTCCACATTCTCTTTCCTGGGATTTTCCACCCCAACCTCTTTTCTTCCTTTTCAATTTTTCTTTTCTTAACCCCAGCATTTGCCAAGGACTGTAGGATGCAATATTGAGAGACAGAGAGAGATTGTGGGGTAAGTGAAGGCGTGTTAGTGAAAATTGGTGTGTATTATTAATACTTGCAATGTCAGATCATAGATAGCAGATGACTTCTTTACAAACCGATTTTTTTGGTTATAAGTTTCTTTTACTTCTATTTTTTTTTAACAGCTTCCTTTTCTAAAATTAGCACCAACTATATAAGCTTTTTGTCATATCAATATAGCTGGGAGATAAACCAATATAGATATGGACACTATCGCGTCAGGTTGTCCTTCCGTGTTTTGCCGAACAAGTGAATGGTCCTGATACTTTAATGAGAAAGATTTTCTTTCGATGTCTACGCCGCAAGACAAACCATTTTATTCTACACTTTTCCTTCTAATCATTTTTTCTTTCCGTTTTTTTTTGTGCATTCTTTAGTAAAAATAAAAACAGCATCCAATGAACCCCTAAAAGTTATTTACTATATAGAGCAGACGTTAAAATAAAGAAAGGAGCAATAAAAATGAAGACTCGTCATCTAGCATGCCATCCCAAAATAAAAAGTGGGGAGCTAAATCAGATGTTAAAGGTGGAGCTAAATCCAGTGTTAAAAGTGTGTTTGTGGGTGGGTGGTTAAATTCGATGCCCTGGTTATGTATGTGTCTGAATGGGGGTGGGGGATAAATCAGATGTTAAATTTTTCAGATTCCAGATTCTATATTGTTTTATCTGATTCTCACCTAAAAAAAATGAATTTTTCTTTTTTAGCTCTATTATCCTACTATAAGAAGAGGCACGGTGGAGTAATGGATAGTGGCTTGAATTAAGGAATCGGAGAACTGAGTTCAAATTCCAGTCAAATCCATTACATTCACTTATGTACTAATACCCTTGCAAAAGGTATGAATCCTCTTCTTCTCCCCCCCAGCTGGGTTAAATAGCAGGACAGACCAGGTTCTATAGCCTTGGATTGAAACTGGTCTACCACAGAAAGAAATGGCAACCTACTGTGGGAAAGAAATTTGCCTTGTCAATCATGTATCAAAAGATACATGATCGCCTAAGTGTGTATCACACATGGCACATAACTGACTGAAGATGCTAAAGATGCTGAGGGCACCATGAACTGAACATGTGAACAACGATAAGGTTTTGAAGAAAATGGAAGCAAAAAGGAAACTTATACTTAATGTCAGAAAGAGGCAGTTGTAGTTTCTGGGGCAAATGATGAGGAAGGAGAGTTTGAAAAACTTGATACCCACAGGACAGATTGAGGGAAGGAGAGCTTGAAAAACTTGGTACCCACAGGACAGATTGAGGGAAAGAGAGACAGCGTGTAACGTATTTGATGAGCTTGAGCAAATGAATGGCAGAACAGAGTTTGGGGGAAATAACAAAAAAACAAACTTGTTAAGAGCTACAAGGAAGAGGAAGATGTGGAGGGCTATGCTCGAATACATCCTGAAGGGACACGGCACATAAAAGAAGAAGCATTTCTTTCATCTTGATTTTAAATATGCATTTTCTTTTTTTTTTTTGCTTCTACTTGTTTTCTGGAATGAGAATTATAGATATTTTTTCCATATGTAAAACACACATAAAAGTTTTAGATGTTAATGCTTTCAAAAACAGAAAGCTGAAAATGATTTTTTTATGATTTATTATTTAAAATTAATTGCAGTTCTGATTTTAGACAAATGATTACATCTCAGCTCAATAGAATTGTCGTAGATTGAGGCCCCTAAGGCAAATTTAGTTTTCTGTTGAGTTCTCAGTTTCAATAAAAAGTAAGGTGGGGCTGAATTTCTCCTCTTCTCTATAGCACCGTGGGTGATCAGAAACAAAAGCCAATAACTTTCAAATTTTTAACAAGAAAAGTTTTCAGTTGATGCTAAAAATTGCCACAAAACATTGATTTATTTAAGATGGAATGATCTATTATCCTTTGTGTCTTTCATATATCTACCAACTCGTTTCAGCTTAGTGTAACAAAATTTCTTGTTCCTAAATTCTTCAACGCCAATAGGAATCAGATTTTCTCCAAGCCCAAGGATTATTTAAGATGGAATTGTCACTTTTGGCATTTTCTCTAATTTGTATTTAGATACATTTTATTTATTTTCAATTTTTCTAGTTGAATTTTTCACCGATATTGCCTATGATCCATTATTGCAGATAATTAGGTTACAATAAAATCTGTATTTTATATGAATACTACCTTATGAAAACTAAGATGTAATAGAGTGGGAGAATGTATCATAGATTCAAGTGGGAGCCCACAAATCCCTTCCACCATCCCTGATTCTACTATTAATATTTTCTGCTTTGATTTTTTTCTGCTTTCTACTCATATTTATTTTCTGTAATTTCCACATATAAGACTTATCATAAGTTTAGGAGATAATGTTTCATGAGAGAAATAATGGAAATGAAGTTTTATGATTTATAATTTAAAATAAATGGCAGTTCTGATTTTAGAAAATGATACAGCTCAGATCAGTAGAATTGTCGTAGATTGAGGCCAAGAAAGACAAATTTAATCTTCTGTTCAGTTCTTAGTTCCTGGAAACAGTGGAAGATGCTAAAGCCCTACCCCAGCCTTTTCTTGTTGTGAATGAAACCGATATGAGTAATGACACTTTAACTCATGCAGTATACATTTGGGTTACAGTGATTTTACAGCATCCCCACCCAATAGCACCAAAGATGATCATAAGAGCCTATAAAAAGAAAAAAGGTAACAGAGTACACATGCCTGAATTACAGAGTATTATAAAAATGAAACAATAAATGACATGACAGTAAAATAAAAAATGAAACAATATTCAGTTGAATATGTATATATATATATATATATATATATATATATATATATATATATAAAATTAGGAGATCAGACAATTCTGTTATCTTGGTTTCAACCTTTCACCTGAAGATACCAAAAGTTTGAAACCAAGGTAGAGGAATCGGCTGATCTCCTAATTTTTTATTCTTAAAAGCTCTGCATGGTAAATTTTTTTCTTTTTATATGTGTATTGAGCACTTTTTAATACTACTGTTTCCTGGTCTAATTCAATTCTGACCATTAACTTTTTATTATATATATATATATATATATATATATATATATATATATATATATGTCAAAAGTGGAAAAAGTTTTCTTGTGATGCATTTTGTCCTTTAGAACTTTGTCAGACAAAAATTGTTATAACAAATTTAGTCCAATAAATTCCTAAAGAACAAAACATGTCACAAGAAAACATTATCCACTTGGTCATACATTTTTCTCAATATTGTTCTTGATAAAAAAAAAACGAGAAGAAAGTAGATAACGATTGACATTGCATTTGAATTTCTAAAGATCAAAGTTGACTGGGAAGCAAGTAGCTGGCAAAAGGGTTTTGAAGACAAAGTGTGATAGAAAAAAAACTGTTAGCATAGAACTTACAGTTACATCTAGCCATTTCAACTGTAAAATGATGAGACCTTGCTGCCAATCTAGTACTGCACTTAAATTCATAAAGTCTAGGTACAATAGAGAAAAGGCCATCAGAACAATTACCATGAAAGTATTTATAGAAAAAGTCATAGGAAAGCTACATTATGATGGTAAGAAATTAACTGAAGTCAGGTCCAGTAACATAAACATTGCAGATTCTTCTTTGGCTCATATCAAGAATATCTAACTAAATATACAGTGAGAGCACCAAATTAGACAGTTCATAAACTATCTGTACTAACAACTAGCACTTTTATCATCTATCTGAAAAGACCAACAAAAATGAGTTGAAAAAGAACAAAATATATAAATTATAAATTTAAATATTTCCTTAACATGCAAAGAAGTTAATTGCTGGATCTTAAATGTAAAGTGGATAGAATAAACTGTGGGCATTGTATTGATAGTTTAAGGACATCCTGTATTTGTTTCAGATCAGATTGATTAAACTTTAAATCACCTAATCATCCTCAAATAAAATTTCAAAAAAGTACATTTTATTTTTGAAAGATTTTTAACAAGGAGAATTACATTGTAGTGAGAGAATTGTAAATATGGTGATTTAAAAAAATAAACCCATTCCAGTCAATTTAAATTTGTTTTGAAATACAGCAAAATATTTGAATTGTTGGAAATATTAAATTTATTCTTTAAGCCACTTGAAATTAAAACTAAAATAAAAGCTTCAAGAGAGATTTTTCATTTTAAAAAATTCAATTTAAACCTTAGGTCTTGCTTTTTCTTTGGTGGTACTTATATAGGTATTTATCAGTGTGCCCACTACGCAACCAGATGTGACATAACATCAGATTAAAACGGGTTTACTGACAGTACCATGGAAAATTTCCACACTTCCCCTTTTTGGAGATGCTCAGGTGCCAGGCAATAAACTCAGCAACCTCTTGCTGCCACATATGGCCCTGTGCACCTGCTATTTACCTTGTACCCCTTGATAAAATCCAAAGAAGAATCAGCAATATTATTGATCCTGATCTGGCAGCTTGGCTTCAGTCACTTTTTCATTGCTGTAAAGTTGCCTCTCTGTGTCTTTTCTATAAAGATTTTCATGGTAATTGTTCAGATGGGCTCTTTACTTTGGTACCTAGACTTTTTGAATTTAAGTACAGTACTAGACTAACATACAGAACTCAGTGGAGCTGGCTAGATGTAACTGTAAGTTCTATGCTAACAGTTTCTTTTCTCACACTTCTCACTTGAGGAAATCCCTTCCAGATCCATGCTTTCCAGCCAACTTTAATCTGCACAAATTTGAATGCAATGTCAATCAATATCTACTGTCCCCTGATTACTCTTTTCTTTTTCCACTCATTATTAATGTTTCTGTTTCTAATTCTTCTACACCCTGTAAC